CGATCTTCTCCCACGCCTTCTCGGCGCGCTCGCGCTTCAGCGCCTCCGGCCCCAACTTGTTCCGCCGATCCTCCTCCACCGCCTCCTTGTGGTTCGACTGCCGGGCGGCGGAGAGCCGCGCCTTGAGCGCCTCGAGCTTGGCCTGCGCCGCGCTCTGAGGAGCGGAGGAGGAGGAGGAGGCGGCGGAGGCGGCGGCGGGCTCCCCGGCCTGCGGGGGCGCGTACACCGGCGGGACGGCGTTGTAGGAAGCTGCCGCGCTCAGCATTCTGCTTGACTTAAAAATAACGCACGAGGCCTCAGCGGAGCTGGGAAGAGGACCGCCGCAAGCGGCGTGGCGTGGGGCGGTTGAGCATCCCTCCGGGGGCCCCTCTGCGCCGGGGAGGCGTTGTTGGAGGCTAGGACGCAAGCGTCCGTCGCCCTTTTCAAACTCGGGGCCCACTCCGCTACGTACGCTCGTTGGTATTGCTAAAAATCTCTCTCTCGTACGCTCGCTCCGACCCGAATTTGGAGGGCCTAAAAAAGTTTAAGGTGTTGCTGCGCAAAAGGGGTCGGACACAGGGCGCAGCTCATGCTAAGAGCTAGAAGGGGAGATGGAGAGAACAAGCACCCTGTCCCGTTATTGCGTACACGGTTACTGGACCGTGTTCAACGACGTTGAACATTGTTCAACGTCGTTGAACACTACTTAGGAATGGCCGTAGCTCCTCTCCACGAGCGATTGAGAAGACGTACCACGTGTCGATTCTGTATAGAATTGCAAGGCGCACACGCTGGTGCAGGCGGGGAGTCGTCGATCCGACTCGTTCCGACGTGAAGTCGCCGTGAAGGATTGGCAAACAGGGCATTTTGCCCAAGATTGCCCTCCCGCGCGATCTTCTCGCGTCGGCAAGCGCGCGGGCCAGGATGGGCGAGCCGGTCCCGCCACGCTGGACGGGCCAGCGGCTGGCACGCGCCGGCCACCCCGGCGGCGCGGCGGCCTCATCGCGCTCGTCGTCTGCGAGGCCACCGCTCGGCGTCGCCGCGTCCGACGGCGATGGCGCTTGGCTGTGAGGTGGGATGGCGGCATGGTGCGCGCGTACGTGGGGGTGGTGCGGGATGCGCGTGCCAGCAAGCATAGTTTCACCTCCCCAACCCCGCAGGCGCGCCGACGTGCTGCCCGAGCGCGTTTGGAGGCAGCAGCAGCTCCTCGCGAGGCGCCTTCGGAGGGGTGCCACACCCCTTTCCCAGCCGCGACAGACTCCCTAGGGTGGGCGACGGCTAGCGCACCACACACCTCTCCTTAAAATCCCTGTGTGGTGGCGGCGTGCCGTCCTCCCATCCCTCCCTTGGGTTGTCCTCTTCTTTCTTTCTTTTACGCGACAGGACGAGGCAGAGGAGAGCGACGCGACAGAGGAAGAAGCGACAAGGGAGACCACACGAGAAGGGGGCGACCGCGAGGTGGCACGAAGGTTGAAGCGAGAATCGGAGAAGGACTGCGAAGAGAGATAGGAAGAGGCGGACGCCCAAGGGTGGGCGACGGCTAGCGCACCACACCCCTCTCCTTAAAATCCCTGTGTGGTGGCGGCGTGCCGTCCTCCCATCCCTCCCTTGGGTTGTCTGTTTTCTTTCTTTCTTTCTTGGCGGTGGCGGGGGGGAAGGCGAAGGTGAGGGCGGAAGGCTCGGTGGAGGCGGAGAGGGCGGCGAAGGAGGAGATGGTGATGGAGGAGGCGGCCAAGGGGAGGGCGGCGGCGGTGGAGGTGGTAGGGGGGACCGCAGTGGCAGGGAGGGGTCCGGGGGCGAGGGAGGTAGGTAGGGCGGAGGAGAGGGGGGCGGCAACGGCGGTGGAAGAGGCGGAGGCTGTGATGGCGCATAGGGCGGGGGCGGTGGGGACGGCAACGGAGTTGGTGATCGCGGAGGGGGAGGTGGAGGTAAGGGCGGGGGGCTGGTGGGGCGGAGACG